TTTCACACCTATTTATTTTCATTTTATCACCAGGATGAACTCGTCCGGCTCCAAGCCATTCCTATTCAGCTCGGAAAGGATATGGAAAAAATAAGCCGCAGAATGCAGTATGTTCCTCTCTTTATTATTATCGTTGGTGGCACAATCAGCTAGAGGTTTAGACTGCATTTGACATTAGTGCATTACTATTATTATTATATTGTTATTACACCTTTTAAAATATAGTTCTGTTCTGTTCTCCTCCTTCTATTCTATTCTATTCTATTCTACTCTACTCTACTCTACTCTATCCTCTATGCTCTATCCTCTATCCTCTATCCTCTATTCCTTATTTTATTCCCTATTCTATTCCATTCCACTCCTTTCCTTTCCTTTCCATTCCTTTCCATTCCATTCCATTCTATTTCTATTCTTATTTTTTCTTATCATATTTTCTATTCTATTTTATTCTGTATTCTGTATTTTGTTCTATTCTACTCTATATTCTATTTTATTTTATTCTGTTCTATTCCTTATTCTACTCCCTATTCTATTCTATTCTATTCCATTCCATTCCACTCCACTCCTTTCCTTTCCTTTCCATTCCATTCCATTCTATTTCTATTCTTATTTTTTCTTATCATATTTTCTATTCTATTTTATTCTGTATTCTATATTTTGTTCTATTCTACTCTATATTTTATTTTATTCTGTTCTATTCTATTCCTTATTCTCCTCCCTATTCTATTCTATTCTATTCTATTCCATTCCATTCCATTCCATTCCATTCCATTCCATTCTTGAAATAATGAAATAATAAAAGCCAAAAATACCCAGAGCAGATTTTAAGCAGACATTATCTTTTGATATTTTTTATGTATTTCCAAAGTTCAAATACAACCTTCCTGCAAAAAAGGAATGCAAAGAGAAAAAACAACAACAAATAAAAAATAAACAAAACCAAAATGTTTACAAAACAAAGTATCAAACATACACGTAAAATGCCCCCACCCCCGATTGAATGCTGATAAATACATTTCAACAATAATAACTTCTCCCCTCTGAAACCGATCCACAATTCATAACCTTCTACATAGGGGTGTCAAACTTGCGGCCTGCGGCACAGGTGCATCATGTGCTCGCCATGCCCACCTCCGGTTTAGCAAAGGGGGAAAAAGTTGTGATTTGTCATGTCAGAGTATGAGAGTTCATGACTTGACAGACACATGGTAACAAGGTCAGCCAATGAATAGGCTTGTCAACTGGGTCAGCCAATGAGGGCTGTTTGGAAACTGAATCAGTATTTTCTGTGTGAGCAACGACGAGACAGCAAGGAGCCTGGGTGTGGCTTAGTTCTTTAGCTCTGAGTCTGTGCTCAAAACTAGCCTGCTGCTCTAAAATGAAACTAAAACTTTCCTCTGCCTGTATTTGCTTGTATTTACTACCACGTTGGAAAACCAGCTTTTGGTATTATACACTTACTTCATGTGTTATATTACACCTTATTCTCACTCATGTCAGCATCTGCCTCTGCTGCTTACAGAGATATAGAGAAGAAAAAAATCGCGCTTCGGGAAGAAGCGCAAGAACTTGTGGATACATCCAAAAAACTGGAGACCAAGTGCACAGAGACCACGATGGAGAAAGAAGATACGATCAAAGAGGTCGAAGGGAAGAAAGCACTGCTCGAGAGCAAAGAGCGAGAATTCAACACTCAGACAAAGGTGCATGAGATGAATAAAGAGAACGAAGGCACCGCCATTTCAGAGAGGTGAGATTTATTAGTCGTGGGCCATTGTGGGTTCTTCCTGTTCCTTAACATTGATGTTTTAGCGAATAAAGGTAAATATACGTGTCCCAGGATAGTGTTGCAGGATCTGAGCTGAGTCAGTCATCAAGACCGAAGGTGTTGTGGCCTGTCGGCTGTCAGCCCCTCCAGCAGTCGAAACAGAGGAGGCGGCAGTGTGAGAGTCAGGGTCAGCATCAAGAGAGCTCCGAGGGGGGAAAGAGGAAATGGAGCTGGGAGAGAGAGAGAGAGAGAGGGAGAGGGAGAGGGAGGCGGACCCTGGACTGTCTGTCAGCACTCAGATGGAGAGTCAACAGCCCCAGGTCTGGAGGTGGCTGATGAGGAAGAGGAGGAACAGCTGGGTCCAGTTGCCAACACGCGGATGCGCAGAAGGCAGAGGAGAGGAGAACAGTGGAAATCTGTGGGCCGGTCCTTGGGACGGAAGAGCCACTGCTGCTAGCAAAGCCCCAACATAGCTCTGGGGATAAAAGGCAGGGGGCATAGATGAATAGATGTGGCAGACAACTATTCATCCCCCTGACAGACAGAGTTGTTAGCCTCCATTGAGAGAAACTTTTTTGCCACGGCTGCTGGCGCTCCTAATAAAGGAATCATTGATTTAAATACAGAGGGTTTGTTGTGTGTGGGAAGCTGGGTCAGAATAAAAAAGGTTTATTCTTGCAATTTTCGTCCCCTCAAACCCTAAGTACCTAGTAGGCTGGTGATAAATCCACACTCCTATTGACTGACAAGGGGCCTGTTCCCCATTGTTCAATCATTTCTCTGGCTGTTTTTGTCTCTGCTCAGCCAACAATCGTAATAGCTGCGACACTGAGTGCATCTCTTTATTTTTCATCATGATTTCGACGTAGCTTTACAAGGTCACCTTAATAATAATCACTACTTACAATCAGTCCTGAGAGGGATTTTTAAGGCAGCTGAAAGAAAAGGTACAGGTGCCAACAGAAGGCTAGCTTAATCCAGAAAAATCCAGTGGAAAGGTAACTATTCAAAATCTCTAGGAGGTCCCATATGGTGGGAAAAAGTGGGAAAGCCCTAATTCAGTTCTCCCTAGTTTCGGATAGTAACACAAAGTACAGATAGTCCTCGACTTACAACAGTTTGTTAAGTGACTACTCAGTGCCAACGGCACTGAAAAACATGACTTATGACCATTCTTCACACTTACGACCATTGCCACCATCCCCATCCCCTTGGTCAGGTGATCAAAATTTGGATACTTGGCAACTGTTTCATATTTATAAAGGTTGGACTGTCCTGGGATCATATTTTGCGACCTTCTGATGAGCAGAGTCAATGGCGAAGCCGGATTTACTTAACAACCGTGCTACTAACTTAACAACCTCAGTGATTCACTTAATCACTGTGGCAAGAAAGTTTGTAAAATAATTGCCTCGCTTAGCAACTTAAATTTTGGGCTCAATTGTGGTCTTAAATCAAGTGTCAGGCCTCCAGTCATATTCCTTTTAGGATTTTTGGGCTGTCACACTCTCTCTTATTTTACTCTGCTGTTTCATTAGTGGGGAATTGGGAGGGGGAATAGCAAGGAGTAGAATGTGTTGTTGTCAAAATAAAACATTCCTTTCTAGAAGCCCGAGGTCATCCTTTGTCTTTGTACCTCTGCACCTGACCGGAACTAGATGGGTGGAAATGCCAGCATGGTAGAGGAAGATTGGACCATGTGATGGACTTGTGGGTGTGGGGGCATGATCATGAACTTTCAACTGGGTGGAAAACCCAGGAAGCTTTCAGATTCAGGTTTCCCACAGATGTGCCAACATGTCTCTCTTAATAAATTGGAAGTTTGAGGAAAGCTCTAGCTTGGACTGTGATTTAATTTTGGGTGATATTTGGAATGCTGACATCAAGGACTACCTGTGGTGTTTTTTTTAAAGTCCTGAGTTTGGACTTCATGTCCGTGATCCACATTCCGTTCTACTTCTCGAAATAATTGGATGGACGGGAAAGATCTGAAATTGATATGACAAAACACCTGAACAAATCACATTATTTAAAAAAAAAAACCACGAATACCGTAAAGCAAGGGTGTCAAACTGGATTTCTTTGAGGGCTGGATCATCATTATAGTTCTCCTCCGTGAGTTAGGCGGGGAGATGGTGGTGTGAGGCGGGACTGATGCCGCCTGCAGCATCCCACCAGACAAAACGGGGCACGTGGGGTCTGCGCTCGGTCCTCCTATACCTTGTTTTCACCCTCCATGATTTTTGTGCCGTTTTTGGGGGCCATTTGTTTGGACACTTTTTGATGTTTTTGGGGTGTTTGGGGGCCATTTTGGGGCTGTTTTTCAGGCCATTTTCGCCAGCAGAGTCCTGCAGGAAGCCACGGAGGGTGAAAATGAGGCACCGTGGAGCTGCAGGCGGTTTGTTATAGCCCTCAGCGGCAGTGTTGGGCCAGCGGCCCTTTGATATTTCCAGGCCGGCCCCATGAGCCGGATCGAAGCGTCCCGCCGGCTGCATCTGGTTTGACACCCGTGCTGCAAAGCCTTCTCTGTAATTATCGCTGTTCTGAATCTGAGAGTTTCAATTGTGGCTCCCTTGGTTTTTGTCCTAACAAAAACTCTTCTTCTACGCTTCCACAGGGGCCAGTTAGAAATGAGTTTTCGCAACGTGTCCAATTTGAAACAGAAGCTGCACGATAATCTGAGCCGGATGCAAAGGGAGAAAGAGAAGGACCTCCGAACCTTTAAAAAGATGGAGATGCAGCTTAAAATCGCGCAGGAAAGCCTGATACAAGTTCAGGCGCGTCACGAAAGAATGCGCTTAGAGGTGCGTACCAGTACATTGGAAGGGCAATGTTGAGTTTTATTATTTTTTCGGTTCTTTGGACCAAATACTGTTAAAAGTACGGTTGCTAAGAAGAGGGTGACTGAAAGATGTCATGCAATTCGGGAGAACCGGTAGTTAAAAAATGCTTTAAAAAGTAAAAAAAAAAAGTTGGCCACGCCCACCAGTCACATGACACTACCGCCAAGCCACGCCCACCAACCAAGAGGGGGAAAATTTGAATTTCACCCCTGCCTTAATCACTGTGGCAAGAAAGGTTGCAAAATGCGGCAAAACTCATTTTTGAACAACTGTCTCGCTTGGCGGCATAAATTTTGGGGCTCAGTTGTGGTCGTAAGTGGAGAACTAGCTGTACTTCAGTTGCTGGTCATAAGTGGAGAACTAGCTGTACTTCAATTGCTGGTCATAAGTGGAGAACTAGCTGTACTTCAATTGATGGTTTCTGGTTCTTTTTTTTTTTTTTTAAGAAAAAGATTAGGCTCAAACATGAATAAGTCATTGGTTATATTAAAATAACTCACTTGCTTTTCTGTACCTAACCATATTTTTTCCCCTCCCTTGTACAGATTGATTCCGTCCCTAAAGAGGATGGGGCAATATTAGAGAGGCGAAGGGAGCTTCAGAGAGAAGTGGAAATAGCTAAGCGAAATCTGACTCAAGAGGTAATGGGACAGTTGTGTTTTTTATTCATTTGCCCAGCCCGCCAAAATCTTTCATCGCATGCCGCTCTCCCTACGCGTTCGCCGAGATACTAAACAGCAGAAATGTTATTTCTTGTAAGAAGAAGAAGAATTATTATCTTCAGGGAAACAGAAATGTTACTACTACTACTTTTTAAAAAAAATTCTCCTCAGGAAACCCAGTGTCGCATACTCATGCTGTTTGTATTTCAAGTAGTCAGAAAATTTTATGTAGAGATCATATTTATTTATTCCTAACTGATCACCCGGCATTGCCCTGGTATTTATTTATCCTAATCCTTGTATTAGACAGGATTTCTAAGGTTGGATTTTCCCCCTTGGGGAGTACTGTGAAGCTGTTACCATGGCAACTCCACTGCGCTATACAGTAGAAACCATTTTACGGCAGTACGGTAGAAGCCATTTTAAGGCACAACAGGCTGTATCTTAACAGAACAACCCCACCCCACCCAGAGGGGTGTTAGAGATGTCTTATCTCCACAGTATTTGTTTCCAGAGAGTAAGTCATCTGTGTACCAAGTATGGTTGAAGTTGCTGGAGGTGTTCCAGAGTTATGCTGGAACACACACACACACACACACACACACACACACACACACACGCACGCACGCAGACAGACAGACATTTATAAATATATATAGATTTTGACTTTGT